ATTAAATTTTTTAATTCTACGTTTGAGAGTTTCCATTAGATTAATAACTATTATTAATAACTAATAGTTCTTTCATTTTTTGCTAATATCTTTCATACGCTCTAATATCAGAGTGTTAAAGGAAAAAGTTATTACACATTGTGGAACATTATGACGTTGGTATATTCCTAGCACAATTTATCATTCTTGCAAATTTTCTATATTATTTACATTACAAACTATAATTTTAAAATAAATAATAAATGAATCATATAAGTTTGACTAATTGTGAATATATGTTTTTCACTAGCTGTTGTAAAATAATTTTAAAGTGTCACTGCTGTATAATGTATCTTCCTTTCAAAAGTAATATAGTTTTAAAGAATTAACGTTTTGTAACTACTGAATGATGTAAGGAGATAATCTTCAAATGTTTCATCATAAATATCTACATTTTCAAATATTTCATATAAACATTTCAGAATTCAATGTATCTTACTTCTATACTAAACACATTTTATATGGAAAGCAATTCTGAATTCCTTACATGAGAGTTACAAAAGATTGAGCTGAAATGTTATGCATAATTTTTAACTAATTTTATTTAAGATAAATGAAAAAATTGAGTACATTCTTGTAGTTATAGATTTTCAACTTTATGAATATTTTTTTTTGTAAAACTACAAAAAAAGAAATAAATATGCACTATCTTTGTATAAAACTTGGAAAAAATATTTACAAATAGTGTTCATATATAAAGTATATGTATAAACAATAATTTGATATAGCTATTATACTGATAGATCATCTTGATCATTCACTCCAATTCTACAATTGAAAACAAAACAAATTATGTGGTTTGATGGAAAAATAAAGATTCAATTGTACTGTTTAATATATTGTGATACATAAAAAAAAAAAAATAATAAGAAAAAAGATTATACCGTATTTTGAATTGTTGTTTTACTTGTATCATATATGATATTTCACGATAACAAAAAGTAATAAATATATAAAAAAAATGTCTTTAAATGAATATATTTGCAACCAAAAGAAAGACGAATAATAGATCATAAATGTAATAGATATGTGCTAAGTAAAAATGATGAATTACCTTTACACCTTTGAGAATACGCCAACGATTTCCCATATGTCCAGGCATTTTAGTACCTGGCATTACCCTAGCCTTTGTTCCTCCTGAGCCTATATTGCCTGGTCTTCTATGCGTTTTAGTTACACCATGAGAAGCAGGCATACCTTTAAAGCCCCACCTTTTCATGACACCTTGAAAACCACGATCTATACTATGTTTTTAAAGAACAATGCAATGGATTACATATTATACACATCATGTATAAAAAGGAAAGTATTAGTAAATGAGATTTACGTTTTTCCTCGAATATCAATAAATTCTCCTGGTTTAAAATGAGCTGCACACAAAGGAGTTCCTGGTTGAAGAGCAGCATTTGGTGAAACTACAAATCTCATTAGTGTTTTTTTTGGTGTAACTCCAGCTTCATTAAATATTCCATAATATTCCTTAGTAAGCTATACAAATTGATAATACAAACATTATATTCAGAAAACTTAGATAAATATTAAGAGATATAGGAAACATAACATACTAGCTGCGGATCAATGTTTACTGCACCTAATACGAGGCAACCATTTTTTACTTTAGGTTGTAAATGTTTAGTGCGCTTAACTGGATTGAATTGTTCAGGTGGCATATATTTTACAACTTCATTATCTACAATCTATTAAGAAATCAGATATATGAGTTTATATGAAATCAAAATGTATTTCATATAATTATTATTATAGTATATTTACTATATTAGGAAATACCTGTATTAGCGTTGTCGTTACTTTTTTACCATTTTTCAACCACATTGGATATACTCCTATCTTTTTCCCAATTAAACCAGTACGTTTAGAGCCTGGAGTCCATGTTGCGGACTGAACAAGTTCTGTATTTAATGGAGATTTTTGTACACCGAGCAGACCATTATTGGCTGATACAAATTCAGAGAGAAATTCTTTGTTTTCTGGAGAAAGTTCTTCATTATAACGCTAATATGAAAAATGACAATATAGACTATTTGCAAAACAGTAAAAAATAAAAATATTATTTATCTATTTCAAATACATACTATACGTGTTGGTTTTGGTAGCCACTGTGGGTGACGTTTCTTTGGTGGAGGATTTTGTAATTTACCACGAGCAGGAACAGATATTATGTTGAGGCTAAAATAATTGTACTAGTGAAAACTAATTTATTTTACAGAAACATTTAAGTAAGTTATTACAAGTATAAACATATTATTCTAACTTAATACCTTTGTTTTAAGTGTCTACTAAACAGTTGAAATCCATTAAGGCTTTTTAAAAGTGATGTCATGTTTGTGAAATATAAAAATTCTGAAAGAGGTTAGATTGTAAGTTAATAGCGAATATGTTATAAGATCTGTTTATAAGATGTAGAATATTAATAATACATTTATGTAATATAGAACAGAAAGGTTTGTAATAATTAATTCTTATTTTCATAATTTTACAAATTATGCTTTACAGGCAACAAATTTAATCTATTAGCAGTTTACTATTAGAGTTAGCACAGACGAGATGTAAAAATTATAAGTTATAAGATAAACTTAAAACGTGTATATTTTTATTATTATCGTATTAATTTTAATATTTAGTGGAGCCGATAACTAAGTAAGTACATCTACAAACGAGGGTACATCTGAATTTGATCCTACTACCCGGGTCCCAGCACTGTTCCTGAGACAGTAAGTTCTCTGATTTGCGTTAGAGTTGATATAAGAGAATAACAATGAATTATCTAATTTACAAGTAATGCAAAAATTTCGAAAGAACGCGATGAACTTTGCCTTGAGATAAATACGTTAAAGGTGAATGAAAATGTATATAAAGAAACAACACATGAATCGGAAGAAAAAATATATACATTAACATCTCAAATTGTCGTAACGAATGAAAAAACTTTGAATTATATACAAAGTAATAGTAGAATTGAAAGGAAATATCGAAGTATATTGCAGATTGCGTACTACTTATTTATTAGTGGGGAATAAAATTTGATTCTTTATTTTATTTCCCGATTCCTAACATTTTTAAATTATAAATTTAAGTTCAAATAATAATTTTTAAATAATCATTTTTTAAGTACTATTTATATCATCCAAGTATTACAAATAAATTTTTATTTTATATCCAATTCTTTAATGAAAGCATTTTTAAAAATGAAAAAAGATATTCTATTATTTGAAATTAATTTAATGACTTATTTAAGTTTTCGCACACAATTTAATAAAAATTTGTAACTAATATGTTCTAGAACCTAAAGGTCCTATGACATAAAGGTCATAAATGATTGGACGGCGGTTGTCCATCGTTAGAGATATCGTCGTCCTAAAGCACAGATATGCGTGCGATGAGATTAAAAGTAACAGAGGAAATGAGAGTGTTCACGCCCGTACTTCTAGTGTTGTATCATAGTATAGGTGCTGCACCATACGACCAAATGCTGAGTTTACTTAACATTAGCATGTACAAGAACCTATAACATTAGGGATCTGCCCTGTTTGCTTGTATACTAGCATACATACAAACTTATTGAGTTCCACGCTACAAGAATCTATTTAATTGTACGGTTCTATGGAAAAGTTTATATCTACTTTTTCTAGTTTCATCTATACATATATACAATCCCTAATTTTATAGGTTCTTGTACATGCTAATTTTACTTAAACTCAGCACTTGGCCGTATGGTGCAGCACCTGTACTGTGAAAGAAATAGAACCACGGACGTGAGCATTTCCTCATTTTCTCTCTGATAGAATATAGATCGATCTTGATTATGGGTATATCGATCATTGATTTAATTATTATTCCTATCATTCCTTCGTAAGTAGCGCTGGTATCTTATTCTATACTGAACCGATAATGTCGCATGTGATACTAAAATAGTATGGGGGGCCATGTAGCCCCCGGTCTGCGAAGGAATTGAAAATTCTAGCATTTCTTGCTTTTAAAAATGTATTTGTGGATGATGTAAGATATTTTGATCAATTTTACAATTTAAAGGTATTTTTAGAAAAAGAGCTTAATATAGGAAGCTTTACAATTTTTATTTCCTCTCTCAAATAGGTAGAATATTTTAAATCAAATAATCTTGAATTTCATACAGAAGTGTTAAAAGTTTGTGAACTTTTTTTTTATACCTTGCCAAGATGCTATCAAAATAAACGTATGAAAGATCAAGACAAGGTAAATATTGCACAAGAATACCGCCTCGCATCCTCCTTTATCTTTCATATACTAATTCTGAGAAATTAAAGTTAAAATATCTGCTAAACTCTGCTAAACTATAAAATGGTTTTTTGGTATAAATAGCTTAATATCTTTTTTTAGAGAATATCCAACTGGATCGATTAATGTTGTAAAAAATATGCGGTACCATTTAAAAAGCTCAAGGTCACTTTAATACTTTAGAAAATAGAGTTATAAAAACAAAATATATTCGTTTGACCAGACCCCTTAAATACAATAATCTATTTCACTTCAAACAGTTTTTGATAAAGTGAATAGATCCCTGATGATAGTTTCTACTGACTCACCATGTATTTCTATTGACAAGGAAATAGCGAAGTCATAAATCACAGTATCATAGACGGTATTGATTGATCCTACCTACAGCAGTAACTTTTAACGCTCTTCTATTATTTCACCCAAAATTTTTGAAGTCGTCGAACGGTCAAAATATATGACATTTACTGCTTCACTAATTTTATGACATCGCTATATTTCCAACAGTGGCTATACATAGAAAGAGAATTTCTTTCTATTTTAAAGAATCGTTTCAAGTTTTAACGAACAAACTTCGAAACTAAACGCACAATAAATGTACGTAAACGTTTATGCGAAGAATCCTTCGTTATTGTGGCTGTATCCAAAACGATGCCAAAGTCGAGTCGTTTAATAATAACAGCTGCTGCTTCATTCGATCATGTTTTCATTTTTCAGACTGTTTGATAATTTTATTTAGATTGATAATTTTATACAAACAGTATACATAATGATATACATAAAGAATATACAATCTTATCTAAATAAAAAGTTGTTAGATCAAAATTTCATTTGGAACGTTATTTTAAAGAACCTTTGAATCAGAAATTCGAGGTAGCATTTTCCAGCGAGTTACACACAGTAACGTTTACTTAAAGTATTCGATTGGAATATTAAAGTAATTAAAAGTAAAGTATCGAAATAAATTAAAACCATTTTCGCTTAGTATGACGTTTTAGTGTCAACTCCATTTCATCTACATCCTTATCAACATCCTTCTTCAATATTCTTTTCAGTCTCTTCTCTTTTATTTTCTCCTTTAATTTGTTTTGTTTTCTTTTCTTCTTTTCGGTCGTATCCATATCATTGCACGATATATCGTTTTTATTTTTAGCTATTAAACAATGAACAACGTAATTTTCTTTATTAAGATAGATCAGTAATAGGTACTTTCATTTCATTATACTTGTACTTGCCAGCAAATAAGTCCATGTGACGATGTATACTCCGATCTTCTTCTATTTCTCTGCGACGATCCATTTCCAAGCAGTCGACAATTTCATTTCGTCTTTCAACAATTTCTATCAATCTGTCGATAAAAATATTAAGCTTTCATTGCACCTTTTTTATCATTTACGAATAGCTGTTAAAAAAAAGAAAGAAGACTGAACTTATACCTTTGTATCAACGCTTCTTCTCTTTGTTTATCAAAATCCGTTTTAGTTGATTCATTTTGTGCCATTAAGCATCGAATTTGGTATTCCACTTCGGCATGTTCTTCTTCTAATCTCTGCTGTCTTCGGAGTAACATTAATTCGGCTTGTCGTCTAAATAACTCATTCTTTTCATTTACTAAAGTAAATAACTCTAAGACTAATTCTTCTACGTCTGTTCCAAGGGAAATATCTGTAGTGCCTACAATATTATGTATGTATTATTGTAGAAGAGAATTGTAAATATATAAAATGTTATATTTTATACAAAGTATAATCGTCCATATTTAGGAGGGTGCCCCCAATCTAAATGTCAAAACTACAGGATACCATGCAGGGGACCGACAAACTAAGAAAAAACGTCCTTTAGAGATCTGCTCGTTTATGCTCCATTTTGGAGAAAATCGCGAGAGTGAGAAAAGAAACAAAGAAGTTTTGCTTTTTTCACTTATTTATTTATTTATTTAGGCTTATTTGTTCTGAGAAAGCGATGTTTAGCTACAATTTAGAAATGTCAATGTTAGATGTATCGCGTGCATTGCTGCAAGAAGGTGTACCATTTTGAACAATATCTTCATTAAATGGACGATAGCACGAATAAAGAAGTATAAATAAGTATAAATAAGTGAAGAAGCGAAGACTTATTTGTTTCTTTCTTCGCGATTTCCTCCAAAATAGAGCATATGCGTGTAAATCTCTAAAGCACATTTTTTCTTCATTTACCGGATTCTTATACGCTTCTGAAATGTTGACATTCAAATTGGATTATTCATCGGAATTATTTTTCCTTTCCTTAATAGGGAGATTTGGGCACAACAAATATATTTACCGCTAATCTGTGGTCCAGATTCACATTTACTTCTTATCAATTGTTCCAATCGGACACCTTGCTTTTCTAAGCCTTGTTGTTGCAATTCTATTTCATCTAACTCCAACTTAACATCCTTAAGAGACATTACTTTTATCTAAAATGGCCAAAAAGCTTATTTTTATTTATGTTTTCAATTATGTTGATGTTGTTTCAAACGATGAGAAAAGAAATGTTGGCAGGACTGGCGTGGGTTCAGCTAACAAGGTTCTTTATGATACGATGGGCACAATGCGCGACATGCGACACGAAGATTTATAACTATCAACTATACTACTGTTATACAACTATATATAATATGCACTTCTTGGTTGTTTGAAGTGTGTTGAAGCGTGTGTGAGTACGATGTTCGGTGTACAGAACGGTCGAGACGCGGAACGGCGCGATCGGTTTTAAGGAAAACAAAGTGGCCTCGAATATATGTACAATTGCATACATTGCGCCAGGACGTAAATGGATCTTAATCTCTCTAAATGGAATTGTCGCAAGAGTTAGGCGAACTTTGGTATTTTCAAATTCGTGGAATTACGGAATTACGTGACTCGCGCTTAGACTTACAGCTACGACGCAATTCACAGTTACAGTTTACAGTAAAATAAATGAATAAGTTTCCACTTACCTTTCTTCTATGTGGTATTGGACAAGGTGGAGCAGGTCCTTTCTTCCTTTTCCATTTTCCTTCCATACTTTTGTCTAAATATGATCTACAATGAAAAGTTTCCTCGCATGTTATGTGTGGAAAACTCTGTCTGTTTCTATTTGTTTCATCTTTATTAGTCTTTTCATCTTCCCATATGTTATATTCTACACTGGCATCGTGTGATTTATTCATAGGACACTCTTTAAAACCACTTGACACTGGAATTGGTGGTGGTGGAGCTGGTCTTGGCTTACGTGTTTTAAACGTTTTATGCGAAGGTGAATCCTAATAACAAAAAATTTGATATTTTTAGCTATCGTTCGTTGTACTTTTCACATGGAACGTAATAGTCTATATAAACGATGGAATAAATTTTTACGCGAGTATTGTAAATTGTAAAAGATCGTGGTCATAGATTACGAGATATTCGGCAGAACTGCATTGTAGTTTAGACATTGAAGATGTGCGCTGATCGGAAACACATTCCTTCTTATTTGGTGGTAACGGTGCTGGTTTCTTTTTCCTATAAGCTCCTCCTGTACGTATCCCTGATTCTGGGCTTCTTAAGTAATTACTTGATATGGATAAATAATCACGAGTGTCGCTCGATTTTCGTCCATTTTTACTTGGGCTTTGCTCGTTGTGCCTACAACAAAACAAAATATATATCGTCTATATAAATTACCTTTTGAGACAAAACAAAGTTTAAAAAACATCAACATCTTGAAGTGTTTCGGTTTTGTAGAAATTTGTATAACGCGCCAATGACTATCGCGCGAGTTTCAGTTAAATCAGAAAAGATTTTTTGCCGAAAAAATATTACCCACTTCGAAATGCGCTAAAAACTATGAAATAATTTCTATTTTATCTATTCTTTATTTAGACATATATGAATTGTATTTCGGGGACTTGGTAATATTTTTTGGGGCAAAAACGAGTAGGATTGACTTGAGTACGAAATTGTGTTCGGTGTTACGAAGTTTCGCGACTAGAAATAAATATTATCTAATATATGCTATAACAATGATAAAAGTGAAAGGAAACATATGGCTTCTCATACGTTATACTTGATATACGGTATTGCGATATAATTTCATGATTCATTGTAAAAATATAGATTTGTATTAGGAGGAAGCACGTTTCTGTCTTGCTATGATTACAAAATGATTAACGCGTAATGTATCTGTCTAGGTACTTACCTACATCGAATTTCTGCTGGATAAACTAATGAAATTTGTCTATTATTTTTACAATTCAACATTGTTAGCACGCTGCAACAATGAAAAGTATAGTTTAACAAATTTTTAATTTTTATACATACTTAATTGTGCGTGGTTTAGGAGTAGGCATAATCTCAGATGTTCTCTCCTTGAACTCCAAATCGCTATCGTGATCTTCTTCGTCGCTCCAAAAGGGATTTAGATTAATCTGTGGTGCGGCTAAACGTCGTTTTGTTGATCCTTCTACGAAATGTTGGTTAGCTTTACCACTTTTAAAATTACTTCTCGTAGCTGGTATTGGTAGAATAACTTCCTTCTTGTCTGTTTCTTCAACATTTTCAAAAGGATTTGTTAGATCTCTGGTAGGTTCTAAACTGTTCATAGTTGTCACGGATTTATCGGTAATTCCTTCTTCGTCTTCTTCCTCTTCTTCTTCTTCCTCTTTTTCTTTTTCTTCTTCCATCTCCACCGCCTCCTCCGCCTCCTCCAGCTCCTCCTGTTCTTCGTCACTTTTAAAGGGGTTTAAATCTTCGGGATAATCTTCACTAAAATTAGAGCATATCACGTTTGTTGCATTAATATCGTTCGCAACCGTAGATGTATGATGTTCAATACTTTCTGTATCCAAAGGAATCGATAAAGTTTTATTAACTTTCGATACACGCGATGATGATAACTCGAAAGGAGCAATCTGTGTCGAACTGTCTTTATCGAAGCTCTCTGCATTATATTTTCGAGAGTTATTTTGACCGATGTCTGTTTCCTGCATTGTCGTATCTGGATTTATTATCGGACTTTCACTGTTCCCTATACTTTTAGTCCTATGCCTTTTAGTTTGTATCTTGAATTTTAATGCTTCGGTATCATGAGTTTTAAGCTTATTCCTTTCGATATCATCTTTTTTCTTTTCAAACATTCTACATCTTTTTTCAACTATAGAATAATTGCTCTCAGAACTAGTCTCATCCGATAATTCTTTGTCGTTGCTATGAGATGCTCTTGTTTCCTTAATTACATTATGAAGCGAAGCAACAGAAGTTATTGTTATTTGATCCTGTTCGTGTTTATCAATGTTTAATCGTTCATGGACGTAATCATGGACGTTTGTGTTTAACAGCCCGTCGTTATCAGGTTCTAGTTTTAAACAAGCAATACAACTGAGTTTATTCTCTTCTTCGAGTTTACTTTGTTTTTCGTACTCAGTATTAAATGGGTGTACTAAATTCCTGCTTTCTGTCTTTAAATTTGTATCATCTCCCTCGATGCTACTTCGATTTTCACTTATACGCATATTATCATCTCTGTTCATCATCTGTTCATCATTTTCCGAAAATAGTTGATTCGATATGAAATTGAGCCGCAATCGAGAAGTTTGCGCTATTAAATCAGGAATAACGACGCGATCCATCGATTCGTGATCCATCCGCTCGATAGAATTACGACTAAACGGTTTTTTATTTACGTTTTCGTCATTGCTAAAAAATTGCTGACAACCGGAATTAATGCCGCTCTTTTCAATTTCGCTAAATGTAGGATAGTCGTAACTTTGTGTTATTCGTACTGCAATATCTTCATCCGGGCAGGTTTCACAGCAATATTGCCCTTCTTCGGTTTCATAATAATTACCAATAGTTAACTGATTATTACATCGAGCGCAGCGAAAGCAAGTACGGTGATAAGTAACATGGGCGAGGACCAGTTTTTCCGCTAGGAAAATTGGAAATCCACACACAACGCAGACATCCTTTCGCATACTACCCAGACACGTTGCTTCCTGCAGAATTTTAAACAAATATTTTAGTTTCTTCCTTTATATAGCGTATTTGTTTGTTATTGCAATTACCGTTGTACAACGGATTAAAATATTATAGAATAATTAGTATGAAAATTTAATATAACGATATCGTTATATAATAAGCTCCATACACTCAAAATACGACTATACTTGATCTTTCATAACTTATATCCTATTTTCTATATTTCGCAGCTTGCGTGAAAGGTTTCAACTCGCTCTAAAGTTAATACAAGTCATTGTATGAAAATCGATTAACGAAGATATATCATTGAAGCTTATTGTTACGGTTGAGCTTCCCCTATCCGAACTAATAGGGAGACAGAACTGTTCGGATAATGGAATTTCGAATGATAGAACAATTAATTTTCTAATATGAAATTTCTCATTTATTCAAATACAGATTAAGATTACTTGGTAGTTTCTTTAAATACTTATGTGTCCCATATCGTTTTTGCTGTTGAGTCACATAATTTTTTCAACATAAGTAACTGCATAGGGTTACATTTTGTTTGCATATATTTTTACTATTTCTATTCCACTTACACCACTTTTGAATTTTTCGATCGAAATTCAAGTTCCATACCAAACTCTTATAATCAGAATTCACTCAATCGAATAAAGGAAAGAATACATTACATGTCACTGCTAATAAAAAATGGACACATTTAAAACAGAAAAGGGCATCCGAAACAAGGTAACCTGAAATATTATGTTCGGATAAATACATTGTAGGTATTGTGGGTACAGGTACGTATTGTAGAACGTTCAGATATTAGATTATTCGGATAATGGTTGTCCGGATAAGAGGGGCTCTAGTGTACTCTCGATTTCCCCTACCATTTCGTCAATACTTTTTGCGTCGAATTGTAATGTAATAATGCAAATAATGCAAATAATGCAAATAATGCAAATAATGCAAATAATGTGAAATATTACTCGATAGTTAAATTGTAAAATAATATTTTGTATTACCCCGTTTTAATCATATTTGTGCAGTCTGCAAATCTACATAAATTATCAGTTAAATATAAAAGGACATTCTATACTACTCGATTTTAATTAAAACAAAAAATCGTATTATAAATATGTGATTAGATAACTTGTTAGTACAATTACGAATATTGATTATCGAATCTACGGATATACATATATACGTATATACGTAGTAGTAATTATTCTACATTATGTATTTTGTATTTTGTTTAATAGTTTATATCGTATACCTTTTTCGTTATTAAAAATTTCGTTCTTTAATTATCAACATCGCTGGTCACTATTTTATTTATCGTTCTAATATGTCCTGTTTAAATACATGTGGTGTGTCAGCAGTATCGTCGATTGATAATTAATTTATTTAATTTCATACAGTGAAAGATGACGCAATTTATACGTCCAAAAGTAATGCATATTTGTTTCACAAATAAGGCTATTATTTTGTTGTAATAAAAAATATATAAAAGAAATGATGTTCTACAAAATATTAAGGCGAATAAAATTAATTATTAATTATTTTTTATTATTTAACTTAATTAATTATTAAATATTAGACATGTAAATTTTTAAATCATCGCATATCGTAATGAAGTTTTTTCAAACAATTTCCAAGACTATATCCAGCCTGAGAATTCTTACAAGCCTATGATGTCTTTTTGTCTACCATGTAATTAACAATATTTACACCGTTTTCGTTTGAACACCTACTTAATTTCGTTATCAACCATTATGTGGGCAAACCAGTAGACAAAAATCAATTAGACGATTATCAATCAGATAAGATGAAAAGATAATTTTCGAAATTCATTTTTTGTTTTGTTCTTTTGTGAAAATATGACTAAGAAATGTGACACATGTCACTTACATGGCGCCAATATACGTATATATAACTTAAGATTTTCTTTCCAAATAAAAGTAACCTAAGTAATCGTAAATAAAAGTAATCATAGGATTACTTTACATCTACTAGTAATTCAATGCAGCGGATACTAACACTAATATAATTATTTTTTAACTATTCCAAGAAAAGCACTATTATCCTAACTGTAAGTATCAGGTGTTCAAAATTTAATTTGATTAATTAAGAGATACTTAAAATGAATTGGCAGACTGTACCAAAGTACAGTGTAAATCGTAGTACCAATGAAATCTGGAGGTGGTTTTATCGCTCAAAATAAAATAAAAATTAACTAAAGCTTTCCTTTCTTATCCGATCACCCATTCTAATGCTTCATTATCCGAACTCTCTCTTATTTGAGTGTTGTATCCGAAAGCCGGATACGTATACGCCACTGCTTATTATTATTATCCAAACAACAGAGGTTTCGTAATGTCATCTTATTAAAAGTAAGTTAATGCTTCGTGATATCGTAAGTAAGAGTACAGTTAACATGTGATAAACGTGAATAACAAGTGACTGAGGATCGAATGAAAGAGATGAGATACCTAAGGCTAAAGTAAAAAGAAGAGCGATTCCGAGGATATAGATATGTACGACAGAATAAAGATAGAATAAAGATAAAATAAAGGGAATACTCTGGCCAATCTGAGATGCTCAAGACGTTATTGGTATTTAAATAAAATACTTATTCTTACATACTTTGAAGTTCAATTAGTGCAAAAATTGAAACAATTAAGTTATTAGCTATGTCTGCAATTTTTAATTTGAAATTATGAAATAACAAATAGGAAGAAAATAATTTTACTTACATTCGTTCATTATGAACGATGAACCTTGTTTCCACTTTGCGCTAACAAAACTGTAAAATTCTCGACCAATATCAACTACGTCCCTCAAATACACATTTTCGTACATTCATAATTTTACATTACAGAGAATCTTGCTTAATAATATAGGTATCAATACAGCAACGGAATCTGAAGAGCAATAATAGTGAACACTGGACGACACTTCAAGTTAAAGCTTGTGAAGCAACGATAACTATTCTGTAATGTACAATATACCTGTATAATATTTCACAGAACTCCAACTGGGGTGCGGGAGAGGGGTCATTACCTCCGCGTAGTATTTTTTTAATTTAGAAAATATATACAATTGTTGTTTCGTAAACATCATTTTTAACATAGTAAATTCATACATGTTAAACATCGTGTAACATAATATTAGTAGCACGTATTAGACTTTTTGTAATATGATACTAATGTAACTTTATCGTGCTTACTAGTAAATGAGAAATATTTGCAATATTTCGTCACATCGCGTTTTTGAAATGGTCGACAGCTGCTTAAAACCACAGAAATACTTTTAATACTAGGCTTACGGGCGTTTCGTATATACCTATCTCTACGAGCACCCGTCAAATTGACGGGTAAACGAAAATACACATTTTTCTTTAAAAAATCGACTTATTCAAATTAAGTCTAAAAGGAACAATATTAGGCTTCGTGTTTGAATAAGTTATTAATAAATGAAAAATCTTTTTTTTAAATTATCACTAAAAAAATTACAATAACATTAATACTAGGTTTGCGGGACCCGCCAATTTGGCGGATTTCGAAGTTCGAAATGAAATATCTCAAGAACCATAGCATTAATTTTAACCATTTTGCATTTTCTGAAATATCGAACAGGTTTATAAGTAATAGCCAGACTTGTTATAAGCCATATGAAAATATTTCGATAGATGAGCAATTATTTCCAACGAAAGCCCGGTGCAGATTTACACGATATATGCCGAATAAGCCCCATAAATTTGGCATTAAATTTTGGTTAGCAGTTGACGTCCAAACAAAGTATATTTTGAATGGTTTCCTTTATATGGGGAAAGATGAAACTCGATGCTCAATACCGTTGAGCGAGTTTGTAACACTAAAATTAGTCGAACCATATTTACAACGAGGCAGAAATATAACGACAGACAATTTCTTTACGAGCATCCTGCTAGCTAAAAAATTGCTAGCACAAAAAACAACTTTGGTTGGGACCATCCGGTCGAATAAAAGAGAACTGGCAAAACCAGCGAAGGAAAAAAAGGACAAGATGACTTTGTTTTCCTCAAATTTATATAAATCAGAAAATTGCACACTTACTGTGTATAAAAGTAAACCTAAAGTAAAAGTCCTTCTTCTAAGCACCAAACATACAGGTGTACGAATAGAAGATAATTATAAACTCCAGAAACTTTTTACAAGATTGCTTTTTACAATAAAACAAAGTTTGATGTGGACGTCGTTGACCAAATGGCACGCAAATATAGTGTGAATGCTGGGAGTTTCCGATGGCCCCTTCAAGTCTTTTTCAATATTTTGGATTTGGCAGCGATAAACGGGTGGATATTATATAAAGAGTGCACCAGATCGAAATTATTCAGAAAGGAATTCATATTTTGTTTAGCCGAGGAATTAGCTGGAGAAAACAAGAGGAACATTTGCCAAAGATCAGGCGCTTCATTTCTGTCACCTTCAAAGTCAGAAGTGCGAAAAAGTTGCCAAGTGGGTTATTGCAAAAAAAAATAGAAGTAATAATTATTGTATATATTGCAAAAAGATCGTATGCGGAAAATGCACAAACAACATTCAGTATATTTGCAAAAAATGTGCTCAATAGATATGGTTACCCTGTACCGTTAATGTTATTGTTATTTTTTTAGTGATAATTTAAAAAAAGACTTTTTATCTATTAATAATTTATTTAAATATTGTTCCTTTTAGGCTTAATTTGAATAAATCGATTTTTTAGAGAAAAATGCGTATTTTCCGTCAATTCGACGGGTCCCGTAGAGATAGGTATATTACATACAGATTTAAAAAATTAGAAAGCCTAGGAAAAAATAATTTTGTGTATAAATTCTTTAGATGAAATGATTAATTTACGATGCAAAATGGTTAAAATTGGTGCTATGGTTTTTGAGATATTTCATTTCGAAGTTCGAAATCCGTCAAATTGACGGGTCCCGTAAACCTAGTGTTAATATAGGGTAAATTATTTAAATAATTGAATACAAAATGTTGTTAATACGTTCACT